CGTCTCCCTGACATGGCTGCATCAACACTACTGCTGTTCCTGAAACCACGCCTTCTATCTTTGCGTGCACGTTTGGGTGGCACACTGAAAAAAATGCTACTACATTTTTTTAAGGTAAGTGGTCGCAAACAATTAATTTAGCTACATTGAATTTTAAAAATATGTTGAAAGTTAGTCAAATAAATTTGTTTATTTAAATGTAGCTAAAATAAATTGATTGCAACCACTTACCTTAAAAAAATGTAGTATCATTTTTTTCAGTGCATTATACTAATATTTCCACATAGTGACGTAGACATGTGGGGGCGTGTTAGAACGAGGCATTTTAGGTAGGCGTGGTTGACTCTTAACTTTTATAAAGAATATCTCTTTGGATTTGAGACTTTAGTCTTTGCAACTTTACAGATCTTCTTTATGCACCAAGAGCTTGTAAGAGCTTGAAATCGCATCATATGACCCCTTTAAACTGCCCCTTCTGGCCAAATGGTCCATAACGCTTCTTCCATGGGTGAGCAAGTGATGTAACGTTACATTTCTCCATATCGGTTCTGATGAAGTAACAAACTAATCTACATCTTGGATGGTCTGAGGGTGAGTAAATTTACATTTTTGGGTGAACTATTCTTTTAATGTTGGTTAATGAATTAACTTTAAATAGGCCCTTTAATTTGTAAAGTGTTACCAAAAATGTATGTATAGACAACAGATGTCACAAAACCATTAAAAGAGAAGCTTTTTTTTAGCTTTATTTGTTTTTCAAATGTCACTAATAGCTCACCAAATGACATCCAGAAGTTTAGCCGTCGCTATGCTGAATCAACCATTGCGAGTGACATCAGCAAAATTGTGGACTTGATGGTTCAGAAAAACTTTGTAAACTTTCTGCTCAATCAGAGAGAAGAAAAGCGAGTGAGTTTGGGGAAATGGGCAGCATGTATGGTATAATATCCAGGTTATATAAAGTAACAGAGGATCCGATGCTCGTTTTTACAGACCAACTACACTGCAAAAAAATTTTCACCCCTTTCAACTTAAAAACGTAAGTTTTGTGGCTGCCTTCAAATTTTAAGTTAAATCAACTTAAAAGTACAAGTCATTTCAACTCACTAATTTAAATCTTGCCTAGTGCTGAATTGTTTTATTGAAGTTCATTTGACTTTACAACATTTGCTGTTTCAACTTAAGTTAAACATTTTTAACATGAATTTTCTAGTTATGATAATGTAAACTTTATTTTAGATCCAGATAAAAAAATATACTACATTTGTTTGAAACATTTCAATTTAATTTTTTTCTTGCAGTGCTTATAAACAGGGTTTTAATATTAAGAACAGTACACAACCTGCCTGTGCATGCTAATGTGTGAATGCCAGTACACAGCGGCCACCGTATCAGAAATGCAAAACTTGACAGGTAAACACATTTTGGAAAACAATGACGGAACATAACTAATTCTGCTCTATTCTGCTCAAATGTACAATAATCTCCCAAAAATTGTGTTACACAAGCGTTCACTCACCTCGTCCACGTTGAATATGCTTCTTCGCGCAGCCCAACGGACAGCTTCAAGTTCATGAGTTGTTCGTCTGAAATTCCTCCGCCATTTAGTTAGTTCGCTGTATAGTCTGCCCGTGTCTCCTTGTTTGATGTTGCACTGCGATGTCTTTATGTATTAAAAATGAGTCTAACGCCTGTTTCACACATACTCCGTCTGCAGTGCGTGTGCGTTGCGTTTTTTTTACGCACCCATGTTAACGGATTAGAGCTTTCAATAAGCTGTCATGGCTTTTTCATCATATCATTTTTTACAGTGTATAGATGATCCAGACACCCGCATCTTCAATGACCGGCTGAAAAAAAGAGTTTGTGATGTGGATTCAGAGAAAAGGCGATGCATTTAAGTAAGTTGCCTTCTGCAAGTGAGACTGATTGTGACTTACCGTCCTGTAAACATAATTTACCATGTTTTTCTTCCTTGACTAACAGGAATCAATAAAAGTAGAACGTGCCTCTAAAGCGCCTTGGAGAACAGATGAACTCAACTCTGATTTGAAGAGCAAGATGTACCGGAAATGTTTAGATAATCAATGTGCTGAATATCCTGTCATCTATCTCTAAATTAAAATCTTTTAATTATAATTAAATTGTTTTTCAGAATCATCATTTGTGGTTTGTACTTTATTATCATAAGAAAAAAATGCTGTAGAGCTCAAGGGATAGTTCACCCAGAACTGAAAATGCTGTCATCATTTACTCACCCTCAAGTTGTTCCAAACCTGTATTAATTTCTTTCTTCTGCTGAACACAAAAGAAGATATTTTAAGGAAAGTGGGTAACCAAACAGTTGCTAAGAAAGTCATTCAGGTTTGGAACTTGAGGGTGAGCAAATGATGACAGAATTTTCATTTTGGGGTGAATTATCTTTCCGCACCTCTTTGTGAAATATATGTAACACAAAACACATGTGCACCATCCAGAACATCATGGGCTTGATTTGTAAACCTTGCCATGCATTTAAAAAATAAAAAAAAATAAGCTGTGTAAATATGCACACACTCTGTGGACCATGCGTATACGCATTCTTTCATTGATGTGGTCGAACTAATGAAGTAAACAGAACGATTTCCATTTACACTCGTTTAAACACATCAAATCATTATCCAGAAATCATTAGTAGGACATCTAGTTGTGAACATATTAAGCTACAGGTGAAAAAATCATTCATAAAAATTAACGTCACTTTCAACACAGACAGACAGACAGCTTCAGTGAGCAGGGCATTTTAACATGTGTTAATGCATTTCATTGGCCTCAGATTTATGGAATTTTTACTGAAGGAACTGATCCATCTGGTCTCTCTCACCACCTTTGTATTTTCTCAAGGCTCAAACTTCTTTTTCTTTTCTTGTCTTCCAACACCTGTATATTTTCTTGATGCTCACATTTGTAGAGGGAGACCATCCTGTAGGTTCTATATGACTTATTGAACCTGTTGTGTTTGTTGATGACTACAAACACAACAAGTTCTTCATCTTCTCTTCTTTGCAGCAACCTTTTTTCTGCCAGTTTATAAATGAGAAGAAATCCTTTCTGCTGCTTATTTTGCTGCTACATTCAGGCTCCTGTACGTCCATCTTTTTGTATTTTCTGTTTTGCTTGTTTCTTTTGGATTTTATCTTAACATCCCCCCCCCCCCCCCC